GGAGGAAAGAAATCAGGGATGCGCCCATGTATCGGCAGGAAAATGGCACCTTCGGCATTATGCCTAAAGTGCATCCCTACTTTGAACCTTCCTGATAGAAATCTGGTCATTGCTGGTCTGTCTGAAAATGCTGTTTGTCTGGTTCTAATGTTCACTCTCTGGCCTCAGTATTTGGAGTCACTGACCCGGAAAGGTGGAGGTTCTGATCTGCATTCTGGGTCAGGGACTTCAAGTATTGGAACCCGAGTTCCTCATATCAGATAATGGGGAAGAAGAACAAAGCAATGGCAGCCTTCATGTCATTATAATCAATGTGTTGTCTCCCATCTCTCATCCTCCCTCTGACTGATTTTCTCTCCTTTTAACAGGAAAGCGAAGACCCAGAGTCCACAGGCCGCGCTCCCCGATATTTGAGGAGAAGGACGTGCCGCCTCTGGAGTTCCCCAAGTCTTCGGAAGATTTGCTGCTGCCCTCGGAGCACCTGATGAACGTGATAGCCATCTACGAGGTGCTGAGGAACTTTGGCACGGTCCTGCGGCTTTCCCCTTTCCGCTTCGAGGACTTCTGCGCCGCTCTTGTAAGCCAGGAGCAGTGCACCCTGTTGGCCGAGACGCACGTCGCCCTTCTGAAGGCTGTCCTTCGAGAGGAGGACACCTCCAATACTACCTTTGGACCAGCCGACCTAAAGGACAGCGTCAACTCCACCTTGTACTTCATCGACGGCATGACCTGGCCGGAGGTGCTGCGCGTTTATTGCGAAAGCGACAAGGAGTATCAACACGTCCTTCCCTTCCAGGAAGTGGACGACTATCCGTACGGCCCTATAGAGAGCAAGGTGCAAGTGCTGCTCTTCTTGGTGGACCAGTTCCTTACCACCAACATGGCTCGCGAGGAGTTGATGTCCGAAGGCGTCATCACGTACGACGACCATTGTCGAGTGTGCCACAAACTGGGGGACTTGCTGTGCTGCGAGACCTGCTCCGCTGTCTACCACCTGGAGTGTGTAAAGCCGCCTCTGGAGGAGGTACCCGAGGACGAGTGGCAGTGCGAGGTGTGCGTGGCTCACAAAGTGTCTGGCGTGAACGACTGTGTGGCCGAGATCCAAAAAAACAAGCCGTACATAAGGCACGAGCCCATCGGCTACGACCGCCACAGACGGAAATACTGGTTTTTAACCAGACGCATCATCATGTAAGTGAACCATTTTTCTGCTGGTCGGAGGTGACTTGTAATAGTCCACGACAACCCATCCAAGTCCTTGTTGACCTTTGTTTCTGGTGCATGGAGGGGCACAGATTGGACACAGGGTATAAGCCAATCCCCATCATTTAGCTGAGAGGTCATCTCTTCCCATGGCCAGTCCACTTCATCCTCTAGGATAGTCCACTTGTGGGAGTGGAGGCCTGATGTCTCATCGGCCAGACGTTGGGACAACCCGTGGGAGAACCAACGATGAATGTCTCAGTTTGATGGTAGAACCCGGGCTCTGTTTAGCTGGATACCCTAATTATTGAGGTTTTGCAGGAGGGCAGACATGGAAACAAGGTCCAGACAGCTTAGCCCAATCATATGAGCCATAGTCTGTTGTACTTTGTATGTCACTAAATCTACAGCAGAGCTATACCTCCTTTGTTCTCCCTGGAGTCCCTCAGATGGACCCTATTAAGCTCTAGGATATGACCGTGTAATAAGTGTCCCATTTGAAGGGTCTTAAAGGGAGATGAGGTCAGGCCATGGCTGCCAGTTGGTGATATTCTTCTTTTTTCCCTGTGCAGAGAAGAAGAGTCTGAGAAGGAGAAGAAGATCTGGTACTTCAGTACAAAGCCGCAGCTTGACGAGCTATTAGACTGCCTGGACCGGACGCATTATGAGGCCGACCTGTGTAAAACCCTGGAGGACCTCGGAGCAGAAATCCATCGACATATGGATATCACAGAGGAGCTGACCAACAAGGCCAAGGGGAACAACCGTTCCTATCTGTCAGTGGTCAATGGTAAGTGTTCCAGACTTGGGAGGTCTCCTCTACGGCATGGTGGTGTTGAGGACTTCCAAAGGGCCCCATCTACTAAGCGTCTTTATCTTCTGAGAAATAGTTTCTCCCTTTTGTTGTTTTTGGACCGCAAGGTTTTTCTGTGACACTTTAACCTCCCGTCTTTTACAGAGGAGATAACTGATCGTCTGAAAGCCAAGCAGGAGGAAGCAGAGAAGAACAAGGTCTCGGCAGAGGGGGAAAAGACATCGGAGGCGACTGCGACTGAGGGGGAGAGCAGCATAGAAGCTAATTCCGTCTCCAAATCGGAGGCCGAGGGGCTGGACAAAGAGCAGAAAGGAGGTGAGTTCTCTTCCATGTTATAGGTGAAACTATATTGACTATTGGACTGTATTTTGTTGTTGCAGCTTTGTGCAGTAAGGCAGCTGTAGTGATTTATCGGCAGGGAACAGCCAGTCTCATGGAGCTTTGCCCCCGTACTTACTCTTGTATATGTTCATGCAGAGACAGCAGGTGATGAAAGCAGCGTGGAGCACCCCTCATCTATCGATGGCAGCAAAGCCGCAGAGACCCCCAGTAAGGACTCCGAGAACAAGACCGTGCAGAGCAGCAAAGCGGCAGACAGCAGCACTGACCCAGCATCTACCTCTTCACCCCCAGCTACTGCTTCAGGTACCTCCCCTGTCCTGATTCTTCAGTACAGTCCTCGTGCACAGGCCAATCTGACCTAGCTCAGCAGAATTGGTAGACTCACTGCTCCCAAATGTGCCAGTTAAGTTACAGGTGGAGTCTGGTGGGTTGAATCCCCTGTAGGCTCCGCGCCTCAACCCTCCCTGCCCCACTTCCTCCTCACCTCTGTGTATTGCCCATTTTCCTGGTGAGTTTTCTTCAAATGGACGCTTTATCCTCCATGGAAATGTCTGTGGAAAAGTTTTCTTCT